GTGTGCTGAACATCAATGTGCTAATTGGCCATTTAGCATCTTTGGAAAAATATCTATTCAAATTCTTTGCCCATTTTGAATTGGCTTATTTGCTGTTAAGCTGTGGGGTTTCTCTACGTGTTCTGGATACTCGTCTTCTGTCAGGTATGTGTTTTACAAAATGATCTCCCATTGTTGGTCTTTGCTTTGGGGTGGGGGTGGGTGGGGGGTGCTCGCACCTGCAGGCACCCAGGGGCCAGAAGAGGGCACCAGCTCCCTCAGAGCTGAGTCCCAGGCATTTCAGGTGGGACACCTGACTTGTTATGTTGGTCCTGGGATCCAAGCTCCCATCATCACGATGATTTTGCAGCAAGGGCTGTTAACCACTTAACCATCTCTGAAGGCCCCGCTCTTTAATGCTACCGACCACGTCCTTTATTACCCCAAAGTTATTAACGTTGGTGAAGTTTTGATGAATGGCTCTTCTGTTGCTTGTGCCCTTGATATCTAAAAAATCAGTGCCAAACCCAATGTTCTTCCTCTAAGCCTTTTTTTACATGTAGACCTCGACCCATTTTAAGTTAGGTTTTGTGCATGCTGTAAGGAATCCACTCCACGAATACCCACTTATCCTAATGTCATTTGTTGAAAAGACTGACCCTTTGACACTGAATTGTCTTGATTGAAAATCATTTGACCACATATGCAGCAATTTATTTATTTTAGAGCCCTCTAATCTATTTCACTGTCCCACATATCTGTCCTTATGTCAGTACTATGCTATTTTTATTATCATAGCTTTGTATTAAGTTTTGAAATCAGAAAGTATTATTCCTCCAACTTCATTCTTTTACCAGACTTATAGCACTTGTCTAGCATACACCAGGCTCTGAATTTGATCCTCAGTCCCACAAATACATACATACTATTTGGGTAAGTCTTTCCATTCTTTAAGAAAACATCACTTCCATTCTGATAGGGATTGTCATGTATCTGTGGATTGCTCTGAGTAATGCTGGCAGGGATCCCACTCTTAAGGAAACTATAATGACTCCCCCAGGATACCATATGCCCACATTCTATCCACAAAGTCACCTCACCTCACTGGGAATCCTACAGGTTGTGACGCTTAGTTCAGGACCAAGCACAGTTCTAGAGGTCAAGTTCAACCCTCCAAACCTTGAACACTAACTTACCTTCTACTTATTTCCTGTGGAAATCATCTCCCACAACTGCCAACAAAATTCAACTCTACAGACCAACTTCTCCTTCCTGCCCTACCTCAAGCCCAAAATGTTCAACCACTTCAGAAGCCTTAATCCCTATTACTGCAAGTCAACCTCTTCTGCATGCACACAGGTATTTACTATTCACTTACTCAGTAAACATGCTGAGTACCTTCTGAGCATCAGACATGTGAAGGCCGAGGATATGCCAGTCAATACCAATAACAGCTAACATATGCTAAGAACTGATTATATGTCAGACTACATTGAAAGTACTTCACAAGGCATTATCCCATTCAATTCTCCTTTCAATCCTATAAAATTAAAGAGCTTGCCCAAGGTCACATAACTGAATCCAAATAATTAAAACTCAATCTCAACCATGATGTTAAGCTGCCTTCTAATGGAGCACAGTCTCAAGGAGCTCACAGTCCAGATGAGGAGACAGCCACATAAGTAGAAGTCAACGTCTCTGTAACATGGTAAGGGCAATGCTGGGGATACACCAGAGATGCGAGGCCTCCCAGAGAAGGACTGCCTAATCCAGACACCTACACATCTGTACTTCATTGGGTATCTCTAAAACTAACTTTGAAACCTCAGTCTCATCTTTTCCATGACAGTGCCCCGCAATAGCCTCTTGGTCCCCAACATCAGTAATTCCCTCCAGGAGCTGCTAAAATGTCATGGGATCTGCTCACCACAGGCCACCCTAGTTGATCACCCCATATACGTGCTCTCTGAAGGATGATGCTGGGAAGACGAAGCCTTGGTGTACCCTGGCGGCTGTTCTGGAAAGCAGCATGGAACTCTACAGAGGCAAGCTCACTCACTCCGGTCCAGATGTAGCTCCACACAAGACCTGTGCCGTTAGACTCAAAGGGTAGATAGCTGCATGGTGAGCCACCAGAGGTCAGGAAAGACGGTGTTTCGGGGACCCTCTGTCCCCAACCATCACGCATCTCCTTCCCCACAGTACCAGAATGTGACTCTCCTGCTGTGGGGCTCTCAGCTGAGGCCAACCAGCTCAGAAAATGAGTGCGGTGGAGGGGCACTGAGAGGGTACAGGGTGCTGCTTCCTGAAGTGGCTCTCTTTCACTCTTGTAGACTGGGGAAGTTTGGTGACACATCGGAGACTATCCAGACACACAAAGAGCACCCACATAGGCAGGCGCCTCAGGCTTTCCTGAGACATGTAACATTTCTCCTCTCTGTGGCTTCTTCCTGAAAACTCTGCCGGAGTCAGGCATGCCAGAACTCCTTCAGGATGGGGCACCGGGGGATGAAAACTCGTGGCTAGAAATGGTCAGAGTTTCTGGATATATGAAGTCCCTGAGATGGCAAGGGACTTGCTAATCACCAAGAAATAAGGGACAGAGCCGTTTTGTATCCTGGCCTTTCATCTCCCTGGAGAAATTACGGACAGTGACACACAGCAGTTAAAATAGATCGTGAAATCAAAGAGCCATACAGGCTTCAGACATCGTCTTCCTTAAATGACCAATAATGTTCTCTTTCACATAATCCGAATATGCCCGGCTCCCTCTGCAGAGGCTCCCGTATGCCTGCGGCCGCCCTTGTACCCTTTGCTTACTCAACCTCCTACCAGTGAAGCAAGGGTACAGGTATTGAATCCCTGTGGCCACCTGCCGTGAGATGTTGTTTCCTGCCAGATCTTTCTGGTAGGGGTGGATTCATCTCTTGGATACCAACGTGTTTGGTAAACTCAGGAGCCAAGGGTCAGAAGATCTGGGTTAGTTCCTGACTTCTTGGATTTCTTTGATCTTGCTATGGTTTGAATGACCCCTCCAAAATGTGAGTTGAGTGTGTATGTGTGTGTGTGTGTGTGTGTGTGTGTGTGTGTGTGTGTGTGTGTGTGTGTGGTGGGTACTGGAGTCCCAGCCTTATGCATGCTATGGAAGCCTTATCCCACTGAGCGACATTCCCAGACTCCCCTGTTGGAACTTAACTGCCTTCTTAATGCCGTTAAAAGCTGAGACCAGCAAGCAGTTATTAGGTCCATGAGAGTTTTGCCCTCATGAACAGATTAGTGTGGTTACCATGGGTGTGGGCTGGTTATGGATTCTTGGGAATGGATTCCTAAGAAAAATGGATCTGCTAGATTTTCTGCTTCACCGTAAGTGGTCACATGCCCTTCCAGCTCAAGATGACCCAGCACAAGGCCCTTAAGCAAATGCTCTCTCCATATTCTTAGGCTCCCTGGCTTCCAGAACCACGAACCGAATAAATTTCTTTATAAAGTCTCCAGTCTGGGACACTGTTTCAGCATCCGAAAATGGGCTAAGATGATGTGAGTCTTTTCTGGTGCATCCCTTAGCCTCTCCGAGCCCCGTTTCTGCCCCTGTGAGGTGAGTTTCTGACAGCAGCTGTGCACTGCTCATTGCTGGGGGTGGGTGGGCGGGTGGGCGGGGCACACCGAGGACATACTGTCCCTTAGCGCCAAAGTCCCAAAACTTTGAAGGCTCTCCTCTGCTCACCTCTCACAACTGGGGAACTTGGGAACAAAGGGAAGGCGGCACTGGGCTGCTCTGAAGCAGAGAAAGTGGGGAGGGACAGGAACAGGGACGCATGGGGGAAATAAATCAAGTGGCTGCGTAATTAATTTAGAATAACTTAAATGCTGTGCATTGAAGGGAGACAAAAGTGGTGACATTTAATGAATTGTCGGTCGATATCTCACTCATTCCAGCTGTCTTGTAAAATGTCAGCTCTCTCACAAGTCCTTTTCCTTGCAGCTGAAAGGTGTGTGTGTGTGTGTGTGTGTGTGTGTGTGTGTGTGTGTGTACAACAATCACTAGGCTGGCTTCTGCACGGTGGGTTAGCTTGTTCGCTTAGACACAATTTCAGAAGCAGGGGGTCCTGCCAGCTGCAGGGGAGAAAGACAAGGCCCAGAGAGCTCTGTGAGCAGCTGTTCATTGTCTCCCCGCCCCCAACCGACTCATTCTCCGAGCCTTCGCTCACTTTCCTGCCATCAACTATGAAAATGCACAAGGTGTTTGTATATGCTCATCAAGAAAGACAAGGTGGGGCTGGAGAGTTAGCTTTGTGACTAAGTGTGCTGGCAACCATGAGGACCTGAGTTCTGAACCAATGTAATAAGCCAAGGGCCGTCTCACCTCAGCCTGAAATCTCAGTGTTGCTAGGAAGTGGAGACAGGATGATTGGTAGGGCTTAACTGAAAAACTCAAGTTCCAGGTTTAGGGAGAGATTCTGTCTCAGAGTAATAGAGATCAGTGGTAGAGGAAGACTCCCAACACCCTTCTCTGGCCTCTGTGTGAATAAGCACGGTGCATTTGGTGCTAGCAGATACATACATATCTCCGTCTCTCTGTCTCTGTCTCTGTCTTTGTCTTTCTCTCTCTCTCTCTCTCTCTCTCTCTCTCTCTCTCTCTCTCCTTCAAACTTTTAACTTCTCCTTTAAACAGAGCTTTGTATTTTCCAGAGAAAACCTTAGCTGAACTCCAGCGGGAGAGAGCCAGGCCATAGTTGCTCCAGAGAATTCTGGGCTCAGAATTCCCACTGGAAGCTGACCGGCCCTTGGTTTGGTCTTGATTCTGCTTCAGAGACTAAGCCGGTAACATACCAGCTGGATTTTCACTTTAGGGGAAAATGTGAAGACATGTGGTACCAAACTGTTCCCATCTCAGACGTACAATCGCTACCCCTGGAAGGGCACTCCTCACTTTGGGCCCCAGTGGAGAGCCAGTCTCTCTGACCTCACAGGCTGCTTGAGGTAAGCAGGGAGGAACAGCTGAGGTCAAACAGAAACCTGGCTGCCGTTTGGCCAACCTGCGTGCTGAAGTGGCCTGGGCAGATGTAGAAGTTCCAGCAACCATGGCTCATGTACCAGAGTGCAGCTTCTCTCTGGCTGGAGAAGCAAAGGGCTGTGATATTCCAGGCCCCTTAACAGCTCAGCCTCGGCTAAGCACAGCTGCAGGGAGTACTCGATGCCAGGTAGAGAACCAGCCACACCCTTCCATGATCGGCTCATATCCAGGTGTGCAGGGAGCCCATGCCAGCCCTGCAAATAAAGCCAATCACACTTCAGCTCTACTTCCCAAGGACGCGCATTAGGGAGTTCGGCTAAACCACTGCCTCTCTCCAGCCTGAGGAACCAGTGGGCTGTCACTAAAGAAAGCAGCCCCAACCTGTTCCCCTTGAGTTCTCTCCGATCTCCGTCATGGGACCCGTCTTCCCTGTCCCCCCAGTTCACACACACACACACACACACACACACACACACACACACACACACACACACACACACACACACTTACAAGTCAGAACCAACGGTCCAGTTCTCAGCCTCTCTCCGGTCCTCAGACCTCTCACATCACCGACCACGCGGTGGAGAACTGACCCACATCCTGGCTGAGTTCCCAAGTCCCCTTAAGCAAGGCCCTAAGATGTGCGGCCTGATCCCAGCGTACCCGACAGGCCTCCCTTCTGTGGACCCCGGCAGCAGCATCCACTTGGTGTAACTCTTGACTCCCCTCCCTCAATCTCCACGTGCCGTATTTATTTAGTCTTTCTTTTTCCCCTTTCATCCTTTCTCACTATCCCAATCTGTCTCCAGGTCTCATGAACTCCCTTCTGGATTACTCCGGCAATCCCTCCTACTTGGAATTCCAACTGCTCACCTCCTTTTTGCCAGTCAGGAGTTGCGAACTCCAGTGCCTACAGGGGATGAACAGGTGGTATAGGTGTGTAAGCTATAACATGAAGTGACAGGCTATGGGAACTAGACAGTGAAGGCTCTAATTAAAGACAGCCAAATTATTTTTTAATTAAGTTATTTGTGTTTTATGTACATTGGTGTTTTGCCTGCATCTATGTCTGTGTGAGGGTTTTGGATCTCCTAGAACAGGAGTTATAGACAGTTGTGAGCTGCCGTGTGGGTGCTGGGAATTGAACCCAGGTCCCCTGGAAGGGCAGCCAGGGCTCTTAATCACTGAGCCATCTCTCCAGCCTCCAAATCATTTTTTTAAGCATCACTGCACAAACTACTCATTGTGTGTCCCGTGGACAATAACTGTGTACCCAAACCTCCCTGCACTTACCTGGTAGCTCGGCCATCATAAGACTTTGGCATACACCTCTCCATTAACAAGGAAACTTTGCTGACTACCCTTTTGCCCACAGGAAGAGAATGGAATAATTAATGTTTGCAGAGAGCCTTAAAAATTAGCAAGGACTTTGCCGTCTGTGAAACTGACATGCATTCATCTTCCATTCAAAGAGTGTCACAGGTCTCTGTACTTGTTTCTCAAGCCTGTGACCCCTCTGTAATTGAGCTTGTCCTCCTCTACCCAAGAAACCCAAGCCCACTCAGAGTTTGGGGCCTAACTCCACCAGCCTCTCTGGGGAACCCAGAGGGGACTGTCCCTGAAGCTGGCACTGAATCCACACACCTATTCCATCTCTTTCTCACCACACCTATCCTCTACCAGGAATCCAATCAGAGCCTTCTCATCATCTGGCTCCTTCCTGCCGCTGTCCTGCATACTTGGGTCATGGAAGATTCTGCTAGAGAGAAGACGCTATGGATGGAAGCGGACCGATGGCCAAGTCCCAGGCTTCACAGAGACCGAGGGCTAGCTCAGGCACCAGTGCTTAGAGTTCCTGTGCGCCAGAAAGCTTGGTGGACATGGGACTCACGGCCCACAGAGATTCCAATGCCGCAGTTCCGTGCTCGAGCCTAGCAATCTGTATCCCAACTCCTGACAGCTGGTTCTGATGCAGGGTGAAGGTCCATGCCTTCAGGTACATTTGGTCTCAGAATCAGAAACTGGACTTGAGTGTGCGTGGTCATTCCTGAGAAGGCCTTTACCCAGCCCTGGTTCCCATGGTGATACGCTCTGAATTCCTCCCAGTGAGTAGTCACAGGGGAAGGGGGTACTCAGGTCTACCCCAGGCTTAGGGTGTGGTTACTTCCCCCCACCCTGGCATCTGTGTGGCAGCCCTTGTTCACAGCACAGACAGAAGAAGCTCTTCATGGCAGAGATGGCCCCTCTAGAAGCTCTGTCCAGGGCCCTGAAGGTCACCTCCTGCTCTCATCAGGGCTACACCTCAGCCCCCACGACAGCAGGGTGAACCATTTACCTTCCCACAACCACACCCCTACTTCTGTCTTCCAGACTGGAAAGCAAAAGGGCAGACAGTTGGTCATGACGGAGAACATCTGTTTACAACCCACGCTGGGGACAGACAGGCACGTGAGGAAGTCGTGGAGTGCTGCCCTGGCTTGGCAGCTCTTTTGGCTACCCTTCAGCTGCCCATCTTCTTCCATCAATCCTCACCTTCCCACGGGCTACAAGCATTACCCAGGCTCCGAGGAACAAACCCCGGGGGATTTCATGAAGCAGATGCCGGACAATGAGGGGCCGATGGGTTGAGAAGCTAAAAGCGAAAGTGGGGGCCTGAGCGGACACTGCTTTTAGCCACTGAGTCCAAGAATGCGAGGTTAGCTGAGCCTCCACCTCTAGGCCCATGAGAAAATATTCCAAGGTGCCCAAAGCAGCAACCTCTGTGGAGCTCCCAGCTTCCTGTAGGAAGTTTACACTGAGTTCCCACCCAAGGGGCTACCAGTCTCCTCGGGTCTCCTCTCAAGGCCGTAGCCCCATTAATATTCTCAAGGCTGGGCCCAGAGACTCTGACTCTACTTCACCCTCTCCTCAGCCCAGTTACTCATCAGATCCTAACCATCCCATCCAAAGAATGTTCTAGACCTGTCCCCATCATCTTCTGGACACCACAACATGCCTTAGTTCAGGCCTCTTCCTTTTGGCCCTGGGCAGTGTGGGGGTGGGTAGGGGGTAGGGGTGAGGTAAGGGTAGGGGGTTGGGGGGTCTATTAAGGGGTCTGCAGATCCGTGCTATTCTACTGCCTACTCCCTTGGCTCCCAGCCTAGCACTCTCCATGCCTAGGAGTCATCAATGTTTGAAAGAACTGTCAGAAACGGTCCATTTATCTGTGATTAGTAACGAATGCAATGGGTTATTAGACCAGTGGTTCTCAACCTTCCTAACGCTGCAACCCTTTAATACAGTTCCTTGTGTTGTGGTGACCCCCAGCCACAAAATTATTTTCATTGCTACTTTTTAACTGTAAATTTGCTACTGTTATGCATCTTAACATAAACATCTGTGTTTCCCAGTGGTCTTAGGCAAGCCCTGTGAAAGGGCCGTTCAACCCCCTCACAAGGGGTCCAGATCCACAGGTTGAGAACCTCTGCGCTAAGTGTTTGAAACCAAGCTGTCAGATCTACAGGGGAAAATTCATGGCAGGGTTTTCCTGGCAGTAGAATCCTGGGACTCATTGTCTATCTATGTTCACACAGTCCTGGTTGGTGATTTCTCTGGAAGAAACATCTAGTTTTCTTAGGCCTTCCCGGCACACTCTCGCTATGGCATTTACGCACAGAGTCCTGTGTGCTAACTTCCTCTCTTCTCTCAGGCTGCATTCACCAAATACCTATGCATTTCCACTTCTCCAGGAGTTCACCAAAACTCTTCCCTCATTCTAGAATGTTCTGCCATCCCTCCTTTGCCCATCAAAGCTCTTCTCATCTTCTGCACTTGCTGTGGTTTGAACATGGCCTGTTCTCTCTGATATTCGTGTCTAGTGAGGTTTGGTGTCCACTGTGGTAGTGTGGTTGAGTGGGTCCTTGAGAGACGCAGTCATAAGGAGGGACTGCCTTTCTCACAGGAGTGAGTTCATTCCCATGACAGCAGGCTCATGCGGCAAGGGTGGGTTTTTATAAAGTGGAGTCACCCGTTTTGTCTCTTCTTTGAATACCCGCTTGCCCTGCTTTTCCACCACGTTATGATACAATAGAAGCTCACCACCCCCCACGGTCACAGCTGCCAGATCTTAAGACATTCAGTCCCCAGAACCATGAGCTGAACAAATATACTTTCATAATAAATTATTAAGTTTTGAATATTTGGTATAGCACCAGGAAAATGAACTAAGAGAATGCTCTTGCTCAAACACCCTCTTTTGTCTGCCCAGAGTTCTGCACCTTTCAGATCAAAAGGAATAGCTCCTTTTTGTCTCTCTCTAGGTCCGATGCTTGTGCCTTTCTTCCAGAGTATAATCTAGTTAGGGTCTCTCCCATCAGAGAGCTGCTTAAGAGCTGAGGTCTCCAGACCGCCGTGCATAAGGGCACGACATGGAATGGGCGTTTAACTAATGTTGGTGCCTAAAGAGAACTAGGAAGAAATGAGTAGATAATGTCTCCTACAGGCCCAAACCAGCAGCACCACAGCAAACAACCTGTCCCGCCCTGTGCACAGAGCACAGGGTCACTTTCAATTCTCTGAGTATGCTCCTTTGGTCTCCAGAAGCCACTTAGAGCCAGGAGGGCTACCATCTACCAATGATACTAATCATATCAGCTGCCATCTGTTGAGTGATTATGATGTGCCAGGCACCATGGCCAGCCCTTCCCATGCATTACAATGATCACTTCTGCTATCACCTGTGAGATATCTCCTGCAGTAGCGTCCTCTCCCATATATGAGGATGCAAGAGAAGTATGGGAAATTTCCAGGCCACGAAAGAAGCTAAGATTCCAACACAGAAGAGTCTGGTCCCTCCCACTCTCTCCTGCTTCCACAAGCCTGGATCCTGCTGTCCACACCCATCAGTCCTGAGCCAGTAGCACAGATGGCAGGCTCATCTCTTGCCAGGGACAGCAGAAGTCTCACAAGAGAGGTTGGGCCCCTGCAGAAGGGGCAGCTCACTGAGCAGGCTTTCCCTGCTCTGGTCAAGTCACAGGATCCCTCACAGACTCCCTAACCCTTCCCAGAAAACCAGGCTCAGGCCACTGAGCATCTCCATAATGAAAGCTCCTCTTCTGGCCCTTGCAATCCGTCCTCTCTCTGCAGGATGGTACCTGGGATATGATGCTTCTCGTGAAGGATGCTTTCAATATTCTGGCCAGTCCTACTAAGAAGGCTTGAATACAAACTGGGCCAGCGGAAAAGGGTAATTAGGCAGAGTTTTCCTGATGAAGTGGGAGGATCAGCAGGTGTAAGCTCGCGGACCTTGGTCCTGGTGTTCATTTAATTAAGTATCACCATTCGGTTCACACATTGGCTGCCAAGGCTTGGGGTGGGGGGATCCCAGCCAACCTCTTTCCTCATAACCCCTGGTGGGAACAGTGTGTGCTGCCTGTCCAGCCTCACCCCCTGCCCCCCCCCCGCCCTTGCCCAAATCAACAAGACAAAAACAGAGCAGCCAGAAGCCAGCCTCTTCTTCATGCTCAGCCTTTGATTACTAAAAAGAACAACCAAAAAAGAACAGAAAGAACCCTGGGGAGACAGGCTCTAGACTCCCAGGCAAACAAAAGGATTGGAGGAATGGAAAGGCATGCCTGAAAATCAGTTAGGCAATAGCTTCCAGTCGTCCCATTTAAATCCTAACAAGGCCGCTGCTCCGAGATAACAAAGGCCACTGTGTTTAATGAAGGGTATAAATGGTAGAAATATGAGACAGGAGCTTTTGCAAGCTGTTAATGAGGTGGATAGGAAACCTCTAAAAATAAGCCAGGGCAAGTTGAAAGGGTAATTAGGGGTGCAAAAATAAACAGAGGGTGTCAAGCTGAAAGAAGTTCAGGGCGAAGGCTCCTCCAACATGTCCTCGGTAGGTAGGGCAGGAGAGGGGTTAGCGCAAGAACATGGAGTCAGAACATAGATCCTCTCTAAGAACAGAGGAGCTCCGGCCACCTACAGCAACAAGCTACAGCCACCACGAAGCAGGCTCTGCCTTATTTATCAAAGTGTCCCCAAAGAGACCTGAGCAAATATTAGGTGATGGGAAACTTCAAACGCCAAATAATAAAAACCCAACCTGGTTCGTACCTTTGAACTGACTGCCAGCAATTGTGCCTCTGTGTGTGGGTGCCTGGCTGTACAAACACACAGATGCTTGTACCACATATTCAACCCACACAAACAAATCCCCACCTACCTATGGAGACTTCCAGCCAAGGTCAGTTGCCTGTGAATAGAGAGTGGGCGGGCGGTTGCAAGCCCTTGAGGACGACTTGAGATGTTCCTGTGTGCCTCCCACTTCCCACCTCCCACCTCCACAATGTCTTCCTCCCCTTCTCCATCACTGCCACATTAGAAAGCTGTTCTGTGGTCAAGTACATTTGGGACATACTTGGCGTGTCCTAGTCTAGGAGATGTGTATGAATGCGTCAAGAACAGACACCTCCTTTTGTTTAATTCAGCATTCCCCAAATGTAAAATTTTCCCACAAAATACCATTTACTAACGTCTTATCCACTGCCCACTTCCAATTAGTAAAACTGGGGCCATTACCCTAAGATGGTGTGGGGATAGGACTGAGGAAGGCCAACTGTGGGGCTTCCCTCTGATTCATGAGTGGGCAGACAGGTTAGTGGGTCCCATCCGGACAGGCTAGAGAGGAGCGAGGCTGGTAATGATGGTAATGATGGGAAGAGAAACCCACCCCCCAAAGAAAATGAGAAACTCAGGGGATAAACGTCCCATCATTCACTTGCTCTCTCCCAACATGTCTGCAAATGTCAAGCAACGCCAGTCCTGGTAACTACAAAGTGGTGCTCCCTTTAGGAGAAGAATTGCTCCCGCAGATTCTGGTCCAGGGCACACAGCTCTGCCCTGTGAATTCTGAATCCTTTCTGTTGCTAAGGAACTGAAAGATGGACTCATCCCAGGCTTTTACAGTTACTCCTGTAGGCTGTGTGACCCAGGCAAAGTAACTTCACCCTTTTCCATCACTTAGCTCATTTGTAAAATGTGAGCCGCAGCAGCAGCTTCCTCACGGAGCTGCTTAGAAAGCTTGACAGAATAAAGGCAAGTATTTACTTTTTTGTATGTCCTCACAGTACAAGGCATTTATAATGACCAGAATAAGAACGTGTTTCTTTCATCTGCACTTTCATTGTGTGATTTCATACTCTCAGGGTCTTAGGTACATGGAGATGTGAATGGGTCTGAAAAATGTTTGCCTAGATCTTGCTCTTGAATTTCCAGTTTATGCTTATTACTATGCTCATGCTTAAGTGTAAGAAAGCAGAAGACAATGGACTTCAAGGGCCCCAGAAGACCTGGAGAGCAGAGAAACCAGCTCGGCATGAAGCTCCTTCCTCTCAGGAGCCATCAGGTCCAAAGGCTTGCTTTGTTCTTATCCCACACCCCACCACTTTCCTCAACTCACTCCCTGCCTTACCAGGGTTTCGAGCCCAACTCCAGAGCTCCCTCTAGACTCTGTGTGGCTTTGCTCAGATTTTAAGAGTGTTCGGATGAGCCTATTCATTCGGGAGTCTAGCTCCCCGGCATAAGAGATCCATCCCAAATCCCATAGCTGTGGCATTACAGAGGCAGATGTCTAACTGATGCCCAGAACTGTCTCTTCCAACATCACTGGACAGGACAAATAATCCAAATTTGTCAGTTTTGTTCTTCTGCTCACCTGCCTGACACACAGAATCTTTTCTCTGTTCCAGTATTTTCAGGGATGCTTTTGTCTAACTTGGTCACATGTATATCTTCAAGCCACACCTCCTCTCCCCACAGAAGGCAACTTGAAGGTAGAGTCTGCTCTCCATTCAGAGGCAGTCAAGAAGTCATCACAATATTCAAATTAGGTCGATTCCTCTTTTATCTCGTGAGCTTCTGCAACTTCTTGTCTTCTTGTCTTCAATCTGGGAAGTAAATGGTGACTTTAACCTTGGCCATACCTTCGGCACCCAGCACAGTTGCAAAAACAGGAAGACAGAATTCACAATAATTATCTGCATAGGGAAAAAA